GTGTTTTTATTACACTGTTGGTGCATATTGTTAACATTGTTGGTGTATTCTAGAATTTGACCGCACCGCCGCACCGTAAGACCCCGCCGCATATGAGCGCTCTTTTATATATATATATATATATATATATATATATATATATATATATATATATATATATATATATATATATATATATATATTGGTAGGGAATATCCCGACCGACATAGCTTTACCCTGACCGAGGTGCCTTCGTCCTTTTCTCTTTGTCTTTGCAGGTAACAAGTCGGGTTTCATGTGAAGAACCCGGTCGGGGTCCGACCGGGAGTTACCCGAGCGGCTATGTCGACCACCAAGCGGTAGCCCTTTGGCGAGAGAGCTGACAAAGGACACGTGGCGGCTCTTTACGACGACAGACAGGGCACCCGGGAGGATGACACGTGTTGGCTACGTGGAGAGCATGCCGGACGACCGGATTTGTGTCTTCGGCGCAGCGGCTATAAATACCCACAGTTTCACTTTCCGCAAACATTCATGCACCTGGGTGTGCTTATAACTATATGTGCAACTATTTATAACTATAGGTGCAACTACTTATAACTATAGGTGCACCTACTTTCACCTATAAGTGCATGTAATTTTGCCTTGTTAACATTCATTGATCTGAGTTCAGCGGGTAGTATACCCCTGAAAACCACTCGCAAACATTCATACACCTAGGTGCAACTACTTATAACTATTTGTGCAACTACTTAGAACTATAGGTGCAACTAAGCATTGATGCTCTGTAAATTTTTACTTGCACCTATAATACATTTTACATGCACTTGTAATACATTTTACTTGCATTTCGATGTTCAATTATTTACGAAAATATCACCGCATTTTTTTAAAAAATTAGTGTTTCTCATCCATTAGATCTGGACACGTAGACGAACAAAATTCATTCCTATTTCGCACCTGGGCGAAGCATTCGCACCTGAGTGCGATTCTCTCTCTCTCTCTATATATATATATATATATATATATATATATATATATATATACAGTGTTGGTTCTATATATATACACATACACAGTGTTGGTTCTCTCCTTTCAGGGTGGGGAGATCGAAAAACACAAGTACCTCCAAAGCAGTCAATAAATCAAAGTTGAGAAACACGTGGACATTGTTAAAAGGGGAAACAATTTCTTTTCAATACTTAGATAAAATAGTAATTTTAATCTTTCACTTATTGTAATATAATCTCACATTAATTCCATAAAAGATTGTGAAGTGATACTTAAAATGAGACCAAACTTCATTATTTTTGAATGCTACTGACTCTATTACAATGTAGTATCTGTTCATAATTACTTTCTCAACCTATTGAAACACAACTGAGGCTCGAACTCACAATCTCCCACATGAGAGTCAAACTCGGATGCCATCTGAGCATAAGATGCTTGGCAAGTTAGAGTCTTAACTTAAGTGATGATGATTTTAAGTTTTAACAATCTAATAGACAAAGTCTATATATTAAAACCAAATGCAAGAAGTCATTTCCCAATCATGCATGTGTACTAAATGGCTATCTAGTAGTGTAGTAGTGTACATGCTCTGATCTCCATTTTAGTCTTCTTTGGATGCTTTATTTGACCCATCCAATTCCCAAAACATTACAGTATGGTGAATATAATGTAGTGAACATTATATTGTACGTTTTTATGTCATTGAGAAATGAAGACCCCAACACCATTTCAGACAATAAACCTCGTCACCTCAACCAATATTCATTCTACTTCATTCTATTACATATTCCTATGATGCATGCCGCCACCCAGAGTTTAGAGCAATGCTAAGAAATAAGATTCGAGTAATTCCGTACGCACGGGTATCTTGTTGGAAATTTTAATAAAATTGGTGTTTTAACCGATTCTTTGTCTATTTTATGGTACAAATATATGTGAGTCGGGGTGGGGGTGAAGTAAAGAAGTAGAGCATATGATGATAAAGGAGGTAGGATGAAAAGACGTAAATACCCCTCCTTAAACGAGGCATCTAACGGGAAGAGTGACGGAATATTAAAATTGTCCTCGTCACAATAAGAGTCTCACAAATTGTGTGATTTTTTTAGAAAAGACCAAAATTATTTGTGTCACTAAGTCTAGGACCAAAAATGTCTTTTACTCCACCAAATAATTATGGCTATGATGTTGTTAGACAAAAACAACTTCTTCGTTTGGTTTTTTAAGTTTTTGTTAAAAATTATTTTAAATTCGTCATATCAAATCACCCGCATATTTGAGTTAAAGTCCGATTCATGTGTAAATCTAATAAGCATGAAGTTAAATGTATGTTTAATAATTAAACTTGAATGCACTTTTTTTTTGTTAATTTAAATGATTTCAATGGAGCATTTTTAGTGATTCAATCGCAATATTCATTCAATTAAATGACAAATTTTTGAAATATTATCAATTATTTATATGCAATAGTAGAATTATATATATGAAGGTAGGATGGAGAAATGATTTATTATTTATTTATTGGAGAGAGTGCTCTCTTTACATATAGGGAGAGTAACGTAACGACTCAATTCAAGTCAATTAACTCAAAATAAATTTATAAACATTATTTGGTTAATTGTTGAATAATTGTATAGTAACAAGTTAACGGTACTGCCAAAAGATTTGCAAGTTATATCGTGCACAATGCATTGTGCGCATGCGTCTTAAAAATTATGTATATTATGTTAAGAGTTTATGTATATTATTTTAAGAGTTTGTATGTATTATTCTATATAATTATGTAGATACAAAATATGAGATTTTTAGAGCGTACAATACATTATGCGCCCTGATACACGATATAATAATTACAAAAGATTTCACATTAAACTCAGATAGTGAAAGAACTCTCACATGAACCAGGCAGACAAGAAACCATTATTGCTAAGACAAAAATATAAGCCAAATCGTACATCACATATATATAAAGCATGCATAGCTGCAGGCAAAATGTTTCGTTTTGCGCAATCTTTATTACCCCCACATCCAAAATTACAAGAAATTTCTAGAAAGTAGTGGCTGAATATGTAGAAAATAATTTTTGTATTAGAAGTTAATTAAGGTTACAAGTTTGATTTTAGTTATAGAAATATTATTTTAGTCAAGTCTATAGCACATAGTGTTTTTAGTATGTATTGTTTATTTCTCTTGTTACTATTACACAAGAACGGGGTTTATCATTTGTATACACTCAAATAATAATTACAAGTTTTTCTTATAAAAAATTTTCAAAAAATGTTTTTTTTTTTTTTAATAAATGAAAAGGGTCAAATTGGTCCTCTAATTAAAAAAAAAAAAAAAATCTCCATTCAAATCCCGTAAATTGATAAATTATTCAATTAAATCCAAATTGATTTGCTTAGCAGGTTAAATCAGTGTAAGTTTGACACGTGTCGGATTTATTAAAAAAAACAACAACAACAACAACAAAAAATACTCCCGAGTATACTGGAATTACTCAGGGTCTCCATTGTCATCTAGGCATGCTTGGGAGTAAATTGTGTGCACTCATGCTTGTTTGCATGTAAAAATGCTTAACAATGCATTGGAAAATATTTGACGATGCATTTAGAAACTCTAATATATATATATATATATATATATATATAGTCATTGTTCATGTGAGTTCACCCCATCCCAGGAGTCTTTGTGGACAGATCTGGGCTATTGAATACTTGAGATCAATGACTTAGATTTCGTGAACTATACAACTGTGCACTTCACTTGCACATGTGACGAAATCTATGTCATTGATCTCAAGCATTCTAGATGTGTCCACACGGACTCATAGGAAGGGGGTGGAAGCAAGTGGGGGAACACACTCTAATAAATTTTGTTCTGAACACTTAATCTTTACAAACAATCTATTTACTCTTAATGTTCACAGTTAATTTTTCAATATTACATTCGATCAATACTGTCAAGAGGTTCTCTGAAACAAAATAAGATTTTGATTTCCACCATATATATTTGTAAGTGTGAAGCGTTTCAATATCTGAAAGTATTTAATGCTTTTCGACTTAAGAATTACCGCGTATATAGTATTTTTAAAAATTAATATAATATTATCGCGTATATGGTATTTTTAAAAATTAATATAATATTATCGCGTATATGGTATTTTTAAAAATTTATATAATATTATCGCATATATAGTATTTTTAAATTAATATTTATCGCGTATATGGTATTTTTAAAAATTAATATAATATTATCGCATATATAGTATTTTTTAAATTAATATTTATCGCGTATATGGTATTTTTTAAAATTAATATTATCGCGTATAATATATTTTGTTAAGTCAATATTCATCATTTGTTATCATATTATAAATTATCTATAAATTCAATAAACTAATTATATTATTATTATATATTCACCATTTTGAATGAAAAATCATAATCTATTAACTAGTTGCTTCAATCCCACCTCTCAATTTACAAATTACTTTATGGTTTTGATGGCAATTCAAGCTTGTGATTACTTTGGAGTACATTTTAATGGAGAGAAAGATGGATGCATTTGATATAAAACTTTGTGATACTATCAAATTATATTGCATGCATCCCATTTTTTAATTTTTTAGTTACAAAATTCACTTAGACTTGAGAAATTTTTGTGTGTAAATAAATAAAACAATATTATGTCCTGGTTGTCAATTCATAGGCAATCAATAAATATATAAATTTAAAAGAAAAAAATGATATTTTAAAAAAGTTGAACTTTGATTTATGTTAAATAAAATAGTTAATATAATTTGAATAATAATATTTTAATTGGGTTTCTAACTAAAAATAGAAAATACATGTATTTGTATAATAATAAATGAGAGAAAATAAAATAAGTAAATATTTATTTTAATAATTTAAATTAAAAAAATAAAATAAAATACTCTAAATTTGTTTAAAGGCTCTAAAATAAGCATTCATATGTCAACTCAATTGTTCCTTTTTACATTCTCACCTCTTTCTTTTGTATCTCTACTTGGACAAGACTCCACAGAGGGGTCTGCGTTCAAGCTTAGACTCTAGAAGTCACCGGAAAACTACTTCTCTAGTGTTTTTTAGCCGGTTTTCCGGCTGAAATCACCATGGATGACGCTGATTTTATACCGTTTCCGGGGAATCTTGATCCCAGAGCTCAAGAATTCTTCCCGAGGAATCCGTACACTTACCCTTTACCTTCGGTGCAATTCTACTACCCTTACCATCCTCATCCCCCGCTGCCGCCGCCGCCGGCGCAGTACGGCGAAGTTATGGCGTACCCTCAACAACCCGCGCTGCCAGCTCCGTGTCTGCCGCCGCAGAGCTCGGTTCCGACGCGAACGCTGCTGGTGAGCATGGTGCCCTCCGACGTGAGCGAGTCGCTGGTGAGGCGGGAGCTGGAGGTGTTCGGCGACGTGAGGGCCGTAGAGATGGAGAGGGTTAGGGACGGGGTGGTGACCGTCCATTTCTACGACCTCCGCCACGCCCAGGCGGCGGCGGCGGAGATTCAGGACCAGCACATGCAGCAGCAGTACCGTCTCCGCCGCCATTTCGAATCGGTCGCCGCCGGCGTCTCCTTACCGCTGCCGCTTCCCTCTCCGGCCCCCGGCCTAATCTCCGGCCAGGCAGTGTGGGCTCAGTTCATAATCCCGGTCACCTGCACCATTCCCGGCGGAAATAATCAGGGCACGCTGGTGTTGCTCAATCTGGACCCCGGCGTTTCCGCCGCCCACCTCAAAGACATTTTTAGAGCTTTTGGTAAAACATTAAACCATAATTATTCCTCAAATCTTTCCCAGATTAAGTTTAATCGTCTTTAATTTTCTTCTCCCAAATTAATGATGTTATATTTATTTATCCAGGTGCCGTGAAGGAACTGAGAGAGACGCCGATGAAACGCCACCAAAGATTCGTGGAGTTCTATGATGTTAGAGACGCCGCCAATGCGTTAGTGCATATGAATCGCAAGGAAATAAATGGCAAGCCTGTGTTCATCGAATTCAGCCGCCCCGGCGGCAATAATAGCCGGAGAAGGTACCCAAGACCAATCCCATTCTCCTCCCCCAAACCCCGTCCCCGTCCAATCACCACCCAGTCACCGCCGCCGCCGCCGTATCGCCACCACACCTCCAATCACCCCGGTGCGTCGTCGCTTCATGATTCCATGGAATCATTGACCATCAGGAATGGAAACGGAAACGGGAATGGGAATGGTAATGATTGGTATAATGGATGTTTCCGGAGCAATTCAAAGAAGAGTTTGAGGAAGAATCACGGCAAGAACTCTCCATCTCGGTCCCCGTCTTCTTCTTCGTCGTCGTCGAAGCAGAATCGGGGAAAGACGGCGACCGGGAAGCCATGGAAGAAATCCATCGTGGGTGGAAACGAGAACGATCCTCGTTTCATGATAAATGAAGACGATATTGAGGAATCTGATTGCAGGGATAACAGAACAACTATCATGATCAAGAACATCCCCAACAAGTACAGGTTCGCGTTTTATTTTTATTTTTTGCTCTAATCTGCTTTCCTCCCATAATATTCCGATTCCCACTTTGATCATTACTACAGTTCCATCTTATTTAACTTTTGAGTTTTAATTTGTTTTCCAATGGGGTTTATTTTATCATTATTTTTTGGTTCTGGGTTGGAGATTTGACTGACACCATTCTTGGGGTTTGTGGTTCCAGTCAGAAGCTCCTGCTGAACATGCTGGACAACCACTGCATTCACTGTAACGATCAGATTGCCCCCGCCGCTCCCCACGACGGCGCCGATCACCACCCCCACCACCCCATATCCTCCTATGATTTCGTCTATCTCCCAATTGATTTCGTGTGCGTGTTTCTATATCCATCTATCTCTCTTTCCATTCTTCCAATTTATATTCTATGTTAACTTAGTAACCAGTGTCACAATGTTACAAATTCAACTTTCAATTGTTTAAATTGATCAGCTTTTTGCAACCTAGGCTGATTTATCTGTTATAATTCAAAAAATTTAGAGTATTTGATACATTGATTGATTGCATGGAACAGGAACAAGTGCAACGTGGGATATGGGTTTGTGAACATGACTTCCCCAGAAGCAGCATGGAGGCTGTACAAGGCGTTTCATCTTCAAACCTGGGAAGCCTTCAACTCCAGGAAGATCTGCGAAGTAACTTACGCTAGAATTCAGGTAATTCTTTGATCGGTTCGGAGTGGGTGGATTTTAATTTCTTTATGACTAATTAAGGTACGATGTTGTTGTTGGGTTTAAAGGGGATAGAGGCGCTGAAAGAACATTTCAAGAACTCGAGGTTCCCGTGCGAGGCGGAGGAGTACATGCCGGTGGTGTTCTCGCCGCCGCGGGATGGGCGGACGTTGACGGTGCCGCTGCCCATCTTCGGCTGCGGGGAAAACCCTCCTGAAGGTGGTGATGATGGGGGCGCAGGAATTGATGAAGGCGGCGGCGATGGTGGAGACTTTGGGGATGGTAATGATGAGAATTGAATTAAAAAAACGGTGGGGGAGAAGTTTGCATGGTTGACATTCGTCCAAGAATCAAGATTTTCTTGATTCCATGGCGACTATAAAAAAGATTTCCCCCAGATCAGATCAGATCAGAGATCTTCTTCTTCTCTCACCTCATCAATGCTATTTCTTTCTTTTCTCCATGGTTGACGGTAGGCTAGCTTACTTTCTGTCACTTCAAACTCAAAATAGCTATGGTTTTGCTGTCTCCACTACCCCCCCCTATATGACGTTGTATTAAGGTAGCAGTAGTGGAAATGCATGCAAAACGGTGGAGTCTAGACTAGTTCCTATAATAATACCATAAATTAATTCGTTTTATTTGTTCTTTCATTTTTATGGCCTTGCCTTGAATTATGTGTTCATGTTTACAGAAAATGTTTTTCATATTCACCTCTTCAATTCTTCCATTACATTACATGCTATTTGGTTGGGAAGAATTTAAATTCCTTTCTTACACATTTTTTTAATTTATACATTTGTTTGCTTAGATGAAATTGCAATTCCCTCATTCTCGGAGGGTGTGATGGAATAAACTTTATTTATGTATAATAGTTTATAAATCAAAATTTCTCATTTGTCAGCTATTTGTGTAGTAAGATATGATTTTGTAGTTTTGGGTAAAACGAATAGAAAATATTGGATAAAAGTGAAATTTTAATTTAGTCTTTAACCCGCATTCATTATTATTTAAGGGCCTATCTTATGTTCATAGTTAAATCAGGTTGTTTTTGTTGAGAGTATAATTTGAAATATTGTGATTACTAATCCAACATATTTGACCAACTTTATTGGGTTGTCCCTGGAATATTTTCAATTTGAGCAAATTTGGTTTTTAGGGTTTAAAATGTTGTTAATTAACATTCAATTACTTACACTATAATATTCTCAAACTCTCCATATAAAAACATCTAGATTTGTTGTTGAATATAAACATGGCTATTAATAGAGCTACGAGTATTATACTATGAGTCTATGAGAGACTAGATAAATAATAAATTAAAATATAGAGACTAAAATATTATAAAACAATAATAATCTAGAGACTAAAAGTAGTACATATTAAAAAAAAATGTGTTTGTACTTAGTAAAGTATGTAGTACTTGGTTTGGGGCTTTGGGGTGTGATTTGAACGGAGCGGTCAACGGTCAAAGCGGATGAATATGCGTGAGCCAAGAAAAGACAGAGGTATGGAGTAGCAGATATGATGTTCCAAAAGAAGGCATATGGAGATGGCATCTTAGTAAAGGATACGGAGTGTAGCCACTTTTACTGGAAAATATGCAGTGATATATAAAAGGATGCAGAAACCCAAAACCAACAAAAAAAAAAGATATCTTCATAGGCAGTTTAGCTGGTCACATGGGTGAAGTTTGAAAATAATTATTCGGAATCGAATTTCATCAGAGTAGTGTGGGAGCGACTTCTCAAAGTGAAATGGCTTCTTGCGGGCAGTAAGCAAACGTCTAGTTTCTATGTTCAGCTAAGTTATCATGTTTTACATTCTCTCAAATGATCTGTTGGATGAGACGTAAGGGCTCTTGATATTGGAGATTCAAAGTTTTGGAAAAAAAAAAAAGTTAAGATACATGACGATGTGATGAGTTCCAATTCATTGTTTTGTCCATCGGGCAACCACGTCTGTTTTTCGAGTACAACGTTGTCTGCTTGTGGCGTCTCGGATATCCATGCGGTTTTATTTGGACTCCTTGGGGAAACTGTTCCTGCAGGCACAGGTTATATTATATATAGCCTTGTTGAGACACTGCAGCTTATAATCCCAATTCATCAACATTAACTCCACACTTTTCGACCACATTTTCCTTTCCTTTTTTTTTTTTTTTTTTTTCTTCTGTGTTTTTAAATGGTCTTATATGATATACGTGTAGTAGTAGTTAATTGTTTATATCAACTAGTAGTATTAGTTGTTTATGAAGAAATATTTGATATTTTTATTTTAAGGAGTATCATTATTTACAATTTTATTTTATTTTTATTTTTACAAATTTTGATGAACAAGCCCATTCAATCCATGGTCTATGACTATGATGGGTTAGGTTGGTGATTTCTTAGCTTGGCCTATTCTACCTTACCAAATGGTAGGTTGCTAGCCGACTTGTCTTGTGGGTTTGATTTAGGTTAAGAAGGTGACAATAGTATACTTTTTTCATTTTAATAGAAGATTGTTTCTTTTGATTTTTTGGGTGATGAAAGAAATCCACATCTACTATTTAAATGTGTGCATTATATAAATTATGTCTTGTAACTCTAATTGATAACATATTATAAATACATAAATCAAAATAAGTTACTTATAGTTTTATTTTTTTTTTTGAAGAGAAAAAGCATTAGATTAAGTCTGAAGACAAAGCATTACACATGATAGATGGAGGGTTGGAAGACCACTCCGAGCAACCACGCATAGAAACAGATTGCTTAACTAACAAATGAGCAACATGATTCTGATCATTTTACAAAGGTGATAAACACATGAGATAGATCACTTAAAAGATATTTAATATCTTTAAGAATTAAACTAAAAGAGGAGTCCCCATTTGATTAATTTAAATTGTCAATAATTGGCTAACTCAAAAACATAAAATTCAATAAATCACTACTATTTGAAGTTAAAGATATCAATGGAATCAATTTTAATTGAATGCTTTTCGTCCTTTTCAATCCCCACCCACTGACCCACAAGCCTGGTAATGATTTGGGGTTTTGACACGTGGAAGTTTCAATGTTTATCTGTTCCACAATATGTGACCATGTTATCTATTTTTCACTCTCTTCCTGTTCTCATATTTTAAATCCTTTGCTTTTTGAAAAAGTTGGAAGTAATTGTTCAAAGGTGTACATGGTATCTTATACATGAAAAATACTATTTGTATTTTCATTTTAGACACTTGTATTAAAACGCACATGAAAAAATAATTATCAGAGTTCGCTATATCAAGGAGTAAAATTTGAGAATACATGTAATAGAACTCTTTTTACATTAAATTTTCTTTCTAGTACATTTACAAAAACTTCATAATTTTACCATTTTCTTCTTTCTTCTTTTTTTAGTGCTACCATTTTCTTCCTTAGTTTGCCTACAATATTTCAATCATAAGGATTTGTTATTAAAAAAGAAAATTTTCTATGAGTTTCGTTAAAAATTATTTTCTAATTTTACTTTTAACTGCATAATTTTCTATAGCGTTGGTATATATACATTTTTTAACTCAAATCTTGTGATGATTAAAAAATTAATAGTTTATCTTTTATATCTTTGAGTTTCAACAAAATTGAATAATTTATCATTCAACTACACATGATTATTAGAGCCGTCAAAAAAGACTTAGTCCGTCCAGTCCCGCCAAAAAGGCCAATCGTTATGCGTTGGACCCGTGTCCAGCATGCATGCTGGACATGGGTAACGGTGCCGTTAGGCACTGTTATCTCTTCTTTTTTTTTTTTTTTTTTTTTTTTTAATTTCAGACCGCTTCGTTATAGGAGTATATGTTCATAATTTTTTTTTTCTGAAAAAGGAAAAAGGAGGGGTATACCCAAGGGCCGTTATGCAACCCTCACAATAAAAGTCTCGCCAAAGAGGCCAAGCTCATCTTCACGTAGAAATCTTTGGATGTCTCTTGGTGGGCTAACAAACCAATTGAAAACATCCCCTTGTGTGTAAGCTTGGTTGGCCAACATGTCCGCCACTTTATTTTGTTCCCTAGGAGCATAAGTGAAAGAAATCTCCCAATTGCGTGTTTTGGCAATTTTATTACTATATGTTAATAACTGTATATTCATAACTCCATAACTGTACGTTCATAACTCTATAACTGTACATTCATAACTCCATAACTGTACATTCATAACTCCATAACTGTACATTCATAACTCCATAACTGTACATTCATAACTCCATAATTGTACATTCATAATTTTCGAAGCTCTATGTTTACAATTTTAGAGCTCTATGTTCATAATTTTATCGCTATATGTTCATAATTGTAAGTTCATAATGTTAGAGCTCTTTGTTCATAATTCGATCAATAACTGTACATTCATAATTCCATAACTGTAGATTCATAATCTCATAACTGTAGATTCATAACTCTATAACTGTACATTCATAACTCCATAACTGTACATTCATAATCTTCGAAACTCTATATTCACAATTTTAAAGCTCCATGGTCATAATTTTATCACTATATGTTCATAATTGTAAGTTCATAATGTTAGAGCTCTGTGATCATAATTTCATAATTGCATAACTGTACATTCATAATGGCATAACTGTACATTCATAATCCAAAAAAAAAAATAACGCTGTTAACGGCAAAACGCGCGCGAATTTTTTTTTTTAAAAAACTAAATGACGCGTTTTTTTTTTGAAAAACGACGTCGTTTTGGGCCCGTGTCCACAATTCATTGTGGACACGGGTCCAGGGCATAATTTGCCGAAAAAGGCGGGGTAGGCTTTGGAGGCTGGCACACCAATCCTATCTAGTATGCATACATTATTGTGTGTGTGTTAATTTATTTATTTATATTGAAAAATATATTTGTAAGTAGTACATTGTATAAATTATTTGTTATTGTCTTATCAATTTACATATTATGTATTTGATTATTTATTAGGACTTATTACTATACTAGTATTTCTTATACGCATAAAAATAGGTGCCCAATATTAATATTTTACATTACAATTTTAAATTTATTTAGATTTTAGATATTTAAATTATTGTAAATAATAATAATAATAATCCTATATATAATAAAGCCATATGGTCTTGTGAAAATTAAATGGTGATAATCAACATTTAATTTTCACAAGACCATAATAATATTGTTATTGTGAAAATTAAATGTTGATAATCAACATTTAATTTTCACAAAACCATAATAATATTGTTATTGTTAATTGTTAATTATAATAATAACAACAACAACAACAACAATAATAATAATAATAATAATAATAATAATAATTGCAATAATAATAATAATGATAATAATTTCCACGGACAGTTTCTATAATATATATATATATATATATATATATATATATATATATATATATATATATATATATATATATTTACTTATTTATTTATTATATTTATTTATATTTCAATTTCTACTGGCAAATTATTGTGAGGAACGATGGTCCACATAATTGTGTGGATCATGAATATCAAATACATTTTTAATATATTAAAAATACATTATTTTTATATTGAAAGTACCTTACATACATATATAATGTACCCTTAGTATATTTAAAATATATTTTTTATTGCATGCAACCCCAAAGTTCATAAGTTTGAAATTAATATATGGCATAGCTAGGCGGCCTAATATTTAAGATTGTTGATGTGCATATTGAGGACTACGGAGACAAAGATACGTTATTCGTGAATTCATCGGATACTATCCAACAACACTCTCCAACTTAATTAACGTGAAGTGGCTTAATAACATTAAGATTATATTCTCGAATTATTAGTTCTCATCTTTTATTGATTACACACTTAATTCCATAGTATTTGGAAGAAAAAATCAATGTTCGAACTAAGATTGTGATTTTGGTCTTTAAAGGTCAATTGTATGTTGCTACATCTAGAGTTAGAAATCTCAAAGGTCTAAAAATTTTGATCCGTGGTGACTCTAAAATTGTAATTCAATTACTATTGTAGTTTACTAAGTTCTTAAAAATTTGTAATATTAAATACTATGTACTAAATTTTTAATATAGTTTAAGATTTGTAGTAATCACCCACCTTAAATATTATTTTAATTGTAAATATATTTATGTTCATAATTTTATCATAGGAATTCACACATAATAATTATTAAATAACAAAAATTTTATATATGAATAAACTTCATATAGAGTATATTTTTATAACATATTTTCCGTGCATCGCACGGGACAAATACTAGTAATAATAATAATAATAATGTAAAACATTTCTATAAATTTAATATATATATTTTAAAAAATAACTAATATATAACCCCAATATAACGGAAGTTAACGGTAGGGGTATATTTGTCCAAAATATTGTATAGTACAACATTTATAGCATAATGTATCATAATCATAAAATTTAACTGAAAAAACGGACATAAATGAAGGGTATAACCTTCATCCACACTTATTATGTTTTTATATTAGTTATTATTGCGTTTAACAAATTACAAATGCATTAATATATATTTAAAATACTCAAATTATTTTAGTATATGTTTATTAACTTTTTGTATAATAATTTTATTTGAATCTAAAACTTTTTAAATTTGATGGGCCGCATGCTTACGACGAGGACAATCATTATGCCGTGGAACCGTGTCCACTCTGCAAGGTGGACGCGGTTCTATGTTCATAATTATAAAGTTATATATTCATAATTTTTGAACATCATATTCATAATTATTGAACTCTATATTCATAATTACATAATTCTATGTTCATAATTATTGAACTATATGTTCATAATTATAAAATTATATATTCATAAATTTTGAACTTCATATTCATAATCATTGAATCCCTATATTCATAATTACAAAACTATATGTTCATAATCATGTTCACAACTTTATGTTCATAATCATAGAACTATATGTTCATAATTTTTGAACTATATATTCATAAATTTTGAACTATATATTCATAATTATGAACAGTTTTGGAATCGTGTCCACCTTGCAATGTGGACACGGTTCCACAGCATAATTTGCCTGACGAGGAGGGGATGGCCAACCTATTTTAAGCTCGTATTCTGGCGGGCAGCAGCGAGCCCCGCTCCGTTGGCCCATTTCGACAGCTCTAATAGTAATATAGAGAAAAATTACATTTTTAGTCTCTGAATTGTTCCTTACAATGCATTTTAGTCCCTAACTTTTTACGGTTGTAATATATTTCTTTAACTCTTCAAAAAATTGCTATTTTAACCCATAAAACCATAAAACTATTAAACTCTATTAAGATTTATTTAGTACGTGGTTTTTTTAGTTATTTTTTTAATAAAAAAATTATAATATTCTTTAGTATTGATTTTTATTTGTTAAATAAAAAGGTTGATTTTAGCATATTTGTGTAGGGAAAATAGAGACAATGTACCATGAATAAAGATGACAAATTTAAGGAAGCATGTTATCAATTATCTATTTTGCAGATGTCATACCGAAATTGAAAAATCATAAATAATTAAGATAATAAAATTATAAAGTAAAACTAAATAAAATTATAAAATATCAATTTTATATTATATATCTCAATTTTAAACTAAATACACAAATCTAACATTTCTAACACTCCCAACATTTTAAGGTAATTTAACCTTCCCGAATCAAATGCCCCAAGACTCCCCAAGAGTGATGTAATATAAACCTTTTTTAGAGATAAAATTAAAACAACATTTTGAAATACAGTTACCCGAGCCCAAACCGCAACCCAATGTCACAAACCGTTACCCCCGAGCCCGACCCGGTTTATGAAATGGGCTTGAATTACAAAGAAGCGGGAGGCGGGAGGAAGAAGAGGAGAGGGAAGCTCAAGCTAGCTAGGGCAAAACAAAAACCGACTTGTGAAAGTTTCTAGACGAAAGAGATTCACAATCTCTTCTTCATCTCACTTCTCACAGTCTGTACTCTTCTTCTATCTACAGCTGAGTAAGAGTTCGTTTCCAATCTGCTCAAGATCCGATCAGAAAGAAGCAGCAATGGCGTTGGTGATGGATGAATACGGGAGGCCCTTTATAATACTGAAGGAACAGGAACAGAAGTCGAGGCTGCGTGGCCTCGATGCTCAGAAGGCCAACATTTCCGCCGGCAAGGCCGTCGCTCGGATCCTCCGGACCTCACTCGGTCCCAAAGGCATGGACAAGATGCTCCAGAGCCCCGACGGAGACGTTATCATCTGTATGTTCATTTCTCACTGATTTCCTTCATAGCATGTAAATAGTGTTTATCGTGATACGGATTGTCATTAGCTGTTGTAATTTGAAAGTGATATTTACTATGATTATGGCTAGATTATACCTTCAGGAATGAAATCTGAAAATTGAGCCAATTGTGGTAGGGAGTTGTAGGTTTGGATCAGATATTATGTTGTTGATTGGGTACATACTACGCCATTTAGTTTTTATTGATAGGTAAATTACTTTTGTGTTTTTAAAGTGAGATTACTCAATTTTGATGTCATTTTGGAGCCTCAGCATTTAGTGTTTTTGCTTGTTCAGGAATACAATTTAGGATTACAGGCATGAAGCTATATTTCTAATTGCTACCAGATAATGTTTTTGAGAGTGAATTCTGAAACTCTGATCTTAATAGTGGAAATTTTGTACTTGGAGTAGATGCTGTTGTATGTCCTCTTTATTTATTTATTTATTTTAATTTATTTTTGAAGCAATCTTGAGTGAGTTCTCTGAGTCATTGTTGTTATCTGTTATGCTGATGCTGACATTCCAATTTTATTTTTCACCATGGAGTTTGCTCATGTTTTATTCCTGTAATTTCAGCAAATGATGGTGCAACCATCTTGGAGCAGATGGATGTTGACAACCAGATCGCAAAGCTAATGGTAGAATTGTCACGGAGTCAGGACTATGAGATTGGTGATGGAACAACTGGAGTTGTTGTCATGGCAGGGGCACTTCTTGAACAAGCCGAAAAGTTGTTGGAACGTGGCATTCATCCTATTCGTATTGCTGAGGGTTATGAAATGGCATCAAGGATTGCAGTTGAGCATCTCGAACACATAGCACATAAATTTGAATTTGGTGTGAATAATTTTGAGCCTTTAGTTCAAACATGCATGACTACTTTGTCATCTAAGATGTAAGTGTCAAATTCAGACCAACTTTTCCACCATATTATTGCCTTGCATATATAGTTCATAGTTGTATCTTTAAGTTGATATCAATTTTCTGTGTGATATTCTAGCATTTCCACATTGGCTTGTGTTTTAGTTTTTCTTGGTTATGACTAATTCTTTATTAACCCTCCATAATGCCTAAATGATGGCAATTGATACTAAGTTATCACATTTATGTTCTAAATGTGACCAAATGTACACAACAAAATCTGTAGAAGTTTGTTATTACATACAAATAGAGTCCAATTTGTGTGTTCATTTGGATAATTTGCTTTTGTATTTCTAACATAGGTTGTGGTCCTTTCATGACTGTTTAAGTGATCATATCCTATGCATGTTTTGATGTGATGAATTTTCATTTGCAGTGTGAATAGATGCAAGCGTGTCCTAGCTGAGATTGCTGTTAAAGCTGTTATGGCTGTTGCAGATTTTGAGAGGAAGGATGTTAATCTGGATCTAATCAAAGTGGAAGGGAAAGTTGGTGGAAAGCTAGAGGATACAGAATTAATTTATGGGATTGTTATTGACAAAGATATGAGCCATCCTCAGATGCCAAAGCAAATTGAGGATGCAAAAATTGCGATTTTGACTTGTCCATTTGAACCACCTAAACCAAAGACCAAGCATAAGGTTGATATTGATACTGTTGAGAAATTCCAAACTATACGTCTGCAGGAGCAGAAGTATTTTGATGACATGGTTCAGAAGTGCAAGGTAAAACTCCATGCTATAAGTCTTGTACAATTGTACAAATGAAAGAGAGGCGAATACAACTAAAAATATGAAAGAATTTATAACTGATGTTGTTGCTTGAGAGTGGAGGTTTGGGGGGGATGGGGAAGGGAGAGTTAAGGGCTGAAAACATGGCTGTTAGTATTGTTAGCTTTGACTTGGCAATCAGTTCAATTGCATGTTTGTTACTTGTGTAAGAGAAAGCTTTTACATTCCATATTAATTCTCAACTATAGCTGATAATAAGTTAGAGGAAGAGCATGGGTTATTGAAGAGACTTACTGTTAATGTTGTGCTTCAATTTTGTATCCTTTTCACAAGTTTTTTAGATGCTGATCAGTGATAATGGTGCAGAACAACAGTTTTGTTTGCTTGCATATACTTTTCTTCCCCATTGATATTTTTTTGGAACTAATTAAGAGGTTGGGGAATGAGATCTCCATTTTCCTGCCCTTATTAATTTGCATGATTAAGTCCTTAGTAAAACTAGGGGGCTATCTATCTATATTTGCAATTTATGGGCTGCACATCAATTAAATGCAAAGGAACTTCAGTTCTGCTTATTGCCTTCATGAGGTCTTCATTTCTGTAACAAGTTTGGTATCCTCTGGTTTACAGGATGTTGGTGCTACCTTAGTTATTTGCCAGTGGGGTTTTGATGATGAAGCTAATCACTTACTAATGCATAGAAATTTGCCTGCTGTTAGATGGGTTGGTGGTGTGGAGTTGGAGCTGATTGCAATAGCCACAGGTTTGCATAGTTTACTGTTTTAGGACGTCACAAATATGATATAGTTGCTATCTTGAGGATATTATGGTTGTTGATGCTTTGTACTATTTGGACTTTGCCTAGGTGGGAGAATTGTGCCAAGGTTTCAGGAGTTGTCACCAGAAAAGCTTGGCAGGGTAATCTTCTCTCTTTGTACTGCATAAATGTAAGGTTGTGGTATGGAGTTTCTGTATTGTTTTGACCAACGTCTGGTTAGTTTATATATCTATTCTTGTTATTAATCACTAGGAGACTCACTACGACAGGTACACCTACCTCAATGAAAAAGAATAGTGTAGCTTTATTAAAGGAGAGCTTTTCCTTTATGCTTATCCAACTTGTTATTTGAGTCTGTTTGATCAAATGGAAAGTAAGATATTTAGTTGTGTTCATATAAGTTGTGCGACACTATCTTTATTCTATCTATGCTTTTTCCTTAAGATGTCAGATGTCAAACATCTATGTTTATGATTTTAGGCTGGGCTGGTTCAAGAAAAATCCTTTGGTACAACAAAGGATAGAATGATCTATATTGAACAGTGTGCCAATTCAAGAGCTGTGACCATATTTATTCGTGGTGGTAAGTTGATTTACCTTGTGAATTCCTTTTATATTAGTTTCTGTGCAAGGTTTTTTCCCCCCATTGTTGAAAGCAAGAAGACTTCTAGTTATAATGGAATTCACTTTCTTATATTCTTTTGCTGTCAACTTTTAAAAAGGGGATAACAAAATTTTTATTTGTTTCTTTTCCACTTTGGTGGTAGCACTACACTAGTACACTCTTGCACTGGTTTTAGAATTTTATTATTTGTTGATATGATGCAACTAAAAGTTACTTCTATTCTGCTGAAATATTTGTACTATGAGATGTACTTTCATCAGTAGCACTAATCTGAAACAACTTTCTTAAACTTCAGGTAACAAAATGATGATAGAGGAGACAAAACGGAGCCTTCATGATGCTTTATGTGTGGCTAGAAATCTTATTCGCAACAATTCTATAGTGTATGGTGGTGGATCTGCTGAGATCTCTTGCTCAATTGCTGTGGAAGCAGCTTCTGATAATTATCGAGGGGTTGAGCAGGTAGAACCAAAGAAAGCCTTATGTTTGTCCTTTATTTTGTAATTAGTGAATTAGTATAAACTGATGACTTATCCTTTTCTCTGCAGTATGCAATCAGGGCATTTGCAGATGCCTTAGATTCTATCCCCATGGCACTCGCTGAGAATAGTGGCCTTCCACCAATTGAGACGCTATCTGCAGTTAAATCTCAGCAAATAAAGGTAAGCTTGACATAACATGAGAGGTTTTAAAGATTCCCGTCACAAAATTCCTTAACCTTGAATTTCATTATGTGCAGGAGAATAACCCGTGCTGTGGGATTGATTGTAATGATGTTGGCACGAATAATATGAGTGAGCAAAATGTGTTTGAGACTTTGATTGGGAAGCAACAGCAGATTTTGCTTGCAACTCAGGTTGTGAAATTGATTCTAAAGATTGATGATGTCATCACTCCGGCTGTTTACTGATGAGTTGAGCTTTACCTAGAACTAGAATTATTTTAGTTTCTACTTCAAATTTCCGATGCTATTGAGTGGAAACTCTCTCTTATGTGTATGCATTGGATTCTTTATGTAATCCAATCACAATTTCTTGGTATAAATTGAACATTCTTGAATCCAGTCGCCCTCTCTCTCTCTCTCTCTCTCTCTGTTTGCTTGACAAGCCTACCCCAACATTAGTTGTTAAAGTCTTCCGTGAATTTTGCATATTAAGTTCATTATTATTTGTGGACTCAAATTTTTAGATTGTGCTTTGTGCTGTCATTTCTGTGTACTGCATATCTCTCTTCATTATCTCCGTCCTAGTTGTAGACATGCTGCAATTGCACTAGCAGGTCACTATATATTTTTTGACTTGGAAACTAAATCTATAATGGAGGCCTGGAGGGTCCCTTTGTTTCTGTCTGGTTTGCCTCTAGATTCCCAATCTTTGTCAGCTTACAGTTTTTCTAATGAATGCATGAAAGCCTAGAATTATAACAGTAGATAAGCAAGCTAGTGTAGCCTGCAGACAGGATCCAGGATCCTCAGTCCTGACATTGCACAATTTGTGAAATGAACCACTATGGCAGGTTGAGAATTCAGGCCATTAATGTCGTCTCTTTGGGTGAAGGATTTTTTATTTGAAACTTTGGAGGTATAACATATGCATCTTGATTATAGGTATATACTACGTACATATATTTATAATCACTCTAATTTATATATATACAAATCGGTTAATTAGCAGCTTTTGCCTTTTTTGCAGGGAAGTGCACCAGCTCCCCCAGTCAAAGAGCCAACCAGCGAGGATGGTCTAGCGCTGAGGCTGGAGGCTTTTGCATAGCTAGATGATGCTCCTGCACTACCTGACGTGGTGAAGAATGCACCATTCAGCATCAGGTCTCCTTCTGACCTCCAATTCCAGCCCTTCCACTGACTCTCTGGTGCATCCTCATGTTTCGTCACTTCCTTATTGAACCTATCATTCGGAGCTAGAAATCTGTTCCCTTGGCTGTTGATTGTAGGATCAGCACTGCCTCCAATTGCATACATCTCCCAGTGTGTATAGTCATTATTCACCACATGAAAGTAACCATGCCTACACCTAGTTCATCAGAAACCACGAGTAAGCACAAGTTTTGTGTCTGATAAAACTTGTTTTAGCAGTAAATATATGAAAGATAGTACCTTGGCATTCTCTGAATGAGGCCTTCCCCAAAATGGTTGAAGGCTATGGTGACTTGCATGCCCTTGTCCTGAATGTAAGTGTCACTGTGTCCCAAGAGCATAACCTTGTTGTGGTGTGTCATGTAGTTGTTGGAGATTGTAATGGCTGTTGATCCACGGATGGCGTCTACCAACCCATCCCTGCAGTTTGACAGAGAGCAATGATCTACCCAGACATGGCTTCCCCCAAAAATTGAAACTCCATCACCGTCTGACAGAGTCCTCCATCCATAATGCTCAGGTGAGTCCCTCACATTTGCATTCCCTCCTTGCTGGCAGTCATGAATGTTCAAGCCATGGATGATTATATTTGTGACATACTGGATAGTAATGCATGGTCCACCTGCAATGTGTACACTAGCCCCTCTTCCATCTATGGTCTTGAATGAGTTCATTATGAGTTCTTCCTTGAGCTTGATCACCATGTCCCTGGCAAAAATGATCCACAATGGTTCATCTTGTATGGCTCCATATCTTAAGGTCCCTGGCTTGGGATTCACAGCGTCATCCCCTGTGTCTGTCACCACATAGAGTTTGCCATCCCTTCCACCAATGGCTTGTTTTCCAAACCCAATTGCGCAATCGGCTAGCCTCTGCCGGTTGCTTTCCCAGTTGGGGTCACACCTCCAGCAATCATCAATTGGGTTGCCTGTGCCACATGACAAGAACCCCAACTTCCTCCTTGCAATTGTTGCATTAGCTATTTTCCTGCAAGAAAAAAGGAAAACAAATATTGATCACTCACTGGATTACTAAAGTGTGTAATCTAAATATGATATTATAGTCATACTCATTGACTTCTTGGACTATGAGTTCAGGGTCTGGATATGGTGAAGAGAAAGTGCAGGTGGGAGCTAGAAGAGGGAGGAGGAAGAGGAGGTAGTAAAGTGGCAATGCCATTATCCGCAAATCCCTTGGTAGGGAGGGGGGCTAGAGAAAGGAAAAAATGGAATATGGAAGTGTAGGATGCATGAAGAAAGGGAACTGAGGTTGAGATATATATATGCAAAATCTATTTAATAATAATAATAATAATAATAATAATATTATTATTATAATAAATTTAAGTTGTCGATCGTAATAAATTTAAGCTGTCGATCGACACAGATACCATTGGAGTTCGAACCTATGACCTCATTTGGAATGGTAATTGGAATGCCATCACACTAGATGAAAGTTTGTTATAACTCGATTGACTTCCCATCTAAATCAACAAGAAAAACATAAGTCGATATCCAACTTAACAATTGTGTTTACTTACAATAGGAGGTTTCTCAATTAAGTTAGTGTTTATTTAATTTTTTTTTTTTTTAGTTTGATGATTTTTTTTTAAAATTTTGATAGCACATTTAATCATTATCCTATTTAATTTATGCTCCGTACTTTTTTATGATCACTTATTTCATTAATTTATGTTGATGTTAGTCAATTAATTAGTATTAGTAAATTAATAATGACATGTCATTGTCAGATCAAAGAGTAATTGTTTAATAGTTTTAGCAAAAAATAATGTTTTTCTTCTATATATCATTATAAAAATAAAATAAAAGTGTATTGCAAATAATTTCTGTTTTAAGTTTTAAAAATAAAAGGCAAGAAAAATATAAATTAATCTAATTTATATATAAGTTGGTGGTGTAGTGTACTGTGTTTGTATGAAGTTTTTCTTTAAAAAAGAAAATCTAGTTTATACACTATTGCCTGCTTGGAGTTAATTGGAGCTAATCTGCTATTAGATTTGCTGTTTGACGTATTGCTTGTCTGTCTTTTCCGGAAATTCTTCAAAGTCATGTATGATTTGAGAGGCATTTGTTGCTCTAAATTGTAATATTAAATAATTAAAACAATTATTTTATTTTTTTAAAAAATTTTAAAATTAATTAGCTGGAAAAGTTATTTATTATTAATTTTAAAATTTTAAAATATTTTTACGCAGTTGTAAAGTAATAAATTCCTTTTTTATTTTATTTTATTTTTATTTTTTATATGTATTCGTATATTATATGTCATTATTATTTTAGTATGCATGACTTTTTTGGTATAATAATTGTGTCTATAATTTTAAATATGTTTTTTTTTTAAGATTATAATTTTAAATATGTTTTCTACACTAACACGGTAACACTAACTCTTTTTCATCCTTATGAAAAAAAATTAGAATAAAATTTATAAAAGAAACTTTTTTCGATCCTCTAATTATTATACATGATCACATCTGATCATTGACGATTAAACTTTTTTAATTAAGTGCATGACTATGTAATTTATATCATATTTAATTTTTTTTTAACCAATTTGCCAAAATATTATTACTCCATATTATTATTATTATTATTATTATTATTATTATTATTATTATTATTATTATTATTATTATTATTATTATTATGGTGTAGACAATACTAAGTACGTTAAAAAATTGGTATACTTGAGTATATTAAGTATTATTGGCATCATTGTCAATAGTACTGTAAAAAAAAAGATTAATATATATAATTTTATATGATATTTTTAGTACTGAAGCTGGTTAACACCATAACATTTTTTAATTATTATTATTATTATTATTATTATTATTATTATTATTATTATTATTATTAAAACTAAAATATATTTTACTTACAAGAGAATAATTTGTCATTATCAAGCAGAAAAAATGAAAGATGTATAATTTGCCATTCTACTCTATAACCCTATAATCCTATTCCTATATACTATCACCGACAGCTTCAACTATGAATAAATGTGTCGGTGAGTTGAAAATTTAAAATTCATAAGCTATACAGTACAGTTAGTCATTATTATTATCCTCTTTTAACACTATATTATTCGCCTCATATTTAATTAAGTTTTATATATTTTCTCAAGCTAATTAAGGCCACTCCAGTATACAAAGACTAGTGTGGTGATGAGTCCATTCATGCACAGTATTATACGTAGAATTCCTCTTTCACTTGTATGTAGATGTTGACATTTCATATTCAATTCTCATATAGAGAAATGTATTTAATTTAAGTATAAGAAAATCACTTCTCTCATTTTAAATTACAATCTTAATGTTGATTGATATTATAGAATTTCTTACTCAATGTCTGGATTAAAATATAGGGGGTGTTTGGTAAATAGATGTTAGATGATAGCTGTTACCTGATTGGGTTAATGAGTTAGACTAGTTGATAGTATTAGTTGATTGTAGAAAAGTGTTTGGTAAATTAACTGTTTGCTGATAGCTGTTTATATGCAAAATGTCTTTCTTAAAAAGCTGATCGAAAGAGCTGTTTTGAGCAGTTTTTTTTTTTGAATTTTAACATTTTGAAATAATAAGCTGTTACAAAAAGCTAATTAATCAAACACTCATATTGATTGTTTAACCAAGTCAAACAGCTCATAATGATCAAATAAACCAAATTTAGTTGATAAACTAACTATATTACCAAAATAGGGCCATAACGTTGTTACACATTTTATTTATTTTTCTTTTTGAATTGGCTAAGAGTCTCTCTTAATTAGTTTGATTTACTAGAATATAATGCAACTACGACACGAAATTAGGTACGAAACATAGTAATTACTACTTTTTGAAAGGATAGTAATTACTACTTAGTTTATAAACAATTTATTACTCAACCTTGTAATTGAGTGACACTAATTTATGTGAACAAACAAAAAGTATATGATATTATAGTCTATAGGATAGATTCATCTTCCACTCTTCTCCACCTATTATTGGATGTACCCAAAAAAAAAAAAAATGAAAATATGGACCAAATTTTAATCTAAAGGTATTTAACATCTTCACTGTTGTGAGACTAATTTAGATTTTACTTACAAAATTTGATTCTTATTTGGAGGGAAAGTTTGGAGTAAAAGTCTTTAACATTTTACAAAGGTCAAATTTATGGCATTATTATAGTTACATTAACAGTTGTT